TGTTATGGGTAGGATCATGGCCGTTGCATCGTTCCTTCTGTCTGTCCTTTCTTCTTTCCTTTAAGTTTCCTTCCGTCCGTCTTTCCTTCTTCTCTGTAGGCCAAGTTTATCGTAAAGAGGTCCACAGTGTTATGGGTAGGATCATGGCCGTTGCAGGCAAAAGGCGCAATGAGTCAGTCCCATGTGGGGACAGTCTTATTTTATCGAGTCTCTCCTTCTTCCTCCTGGTTACTGTACCTCAAGTCCTATTCAGACTTCCCGCAAAAAAATTCCTTTCCACAAAATCATTGTGTCCTGTAGAGCGCTAAACTGAAATAATAAACGTGCTTTCTGTCGGTACCTCACTTAGTGTCTTGCTGGGCGTAGTTTTTTCGGCCAGTATTTAGATTTATTAAAACTGCCAGCTGAGATCAGAAATGTTTTGAGAGTTCTAAAATATTACTTTGAAATCTTTACTTTGGAGTTCTGAAGCTGTCAGAGACAGACGCAGAATTTGTGACTCTGCCTCTCGAATAGAGCCAAATTTTAGCAGTAAACCTTTGAACTTATAAACGCCTTTCTAAACAGTTTTAGTGGGATGGTTGTATTGGAATGTGGATGATGTCTGCGGTTACAATCCAGCGTTTGTGGTGTAATTGTTAGACCCATAGCCTTCCACAAAAAAAGACGTGGTTTTGATCCCCTTGTGGGGAATATCTTTTGGTGCTAGAGTTCTTTTGACGGCCTACCGCGATGTTATCCATAACCGTAACCACAACCCAAAGCCTAACATGTCGTTCGGTCCGGGTTGGGTTTAGGTGGTAGACTCAGTTAATCTTTCCCTTTACCATCATGGTTAGGTACACTGTACCATCATGGTTAGGTACACTGTACTATCATGGTTAGGTACACAGAACGCTTGTCTGTTCCTAGCCACTGCTTCAAGCGTTGACTCAGCCAGTTCCTGGTTGAGTGCCACATCTCTGATCGTACTCCCATAATTGCCAGTTGGTCTTCTTCTTCTTCCACCTCTAATCTTCGGTGCATATTTATATGACGT